TTAACGTTAAACACATACTCTTAAATGCAAAGCTTTGAAGGAAATTAGTACAGCTGAATAGTTCTCTTACAAATTAAATTTTAAAATAAAATTCACATGCCTTTTATTTAATAGTTATAATCTTTCACCATATTTCAGTGTGTTGTGTTCTCTCTATCCATCTACTGCTCGCGTGTGCATCTTCCACAGATCCGAGGCTTGCTCTGGTGCGATTTTTCAGCACAGCTGTGGCAGAGACAAAACTCTCCAGGATGCACAGCCTGGATGCTTTGACACTGCTGGATGGGCAGACAAGATTTTCTGATAGATGAGCACAAACATTTCTGCACCTCCTCCAAACCCTGTCAAGATGCTTACTCTTTAAGTCATCATAAGGAAAAGAAAGAAAGGATTTTCTGTTACTGTTCACATGGAGCCAGAGGTGTTTTGAAACGAATACATTTTTGCATTAGTGAATTTTAATTCAGCAAATCTGAGCTACTGGCTGAGCCAACAGCTGATAGATTTGGAGGCTACTAGGAAATGTTTTGAAAGAAAAAACAATTCATTTTTAAATAAACTCTGAGGAAAGTCAGACACCAGCCTCAGCTCCATCATGTTCATAGTGTAGAATAAAGTTTCCCAAAACATTTGCATTCCGGGTAATCTTTTTATTAAAATGATGGAATGTTGGACTACATTCCTGGCATACTCACCAGTGGCATGGTTAGCAGAACTGGCAACCAGAAAAGATGCCTTCAGAATAAGTTTGTTGTTTTTTGTGGGTTTTTTTTCACCCGTTATTAGACTGGTAAACAAGTCTAATAAGTTTAGCAAATATCTTTCTGCCTCAGCTTAATTAGACTGGCATTTTATAACAGCCTGTTATTGTAAATCATCCCCCGCTTTGATTAGAATCCTTATATATGGTACAAGGTGGAGTCAGTTCAAAAAATGTTTTTTTATGGACACACTAGGGTATGCTTGGAGATCACACTGCCACCTGCCATCCTGATTACACTAGTATGAAAAGCTTCGAACCTTCCTGGCCAATAGTATCTGGCAGCACAGTGGCATCAGAACTGCTGGCATGGAAGAGGAGAACAGCAACAAAACAATCAAAGCCTGGCAATGATATGACCAGCCTGTTGAAACCCAGTGGGTCTTACTGCCGAAGTCCTTGGAACCCTGGTTAGAAAAGTACTGCAGAAAGAGAGGAAGGACAGAACTCTCTGTGATGTAGTTGCAGTAGATAATTTTTGTCCTGCTCACCATATTTTTATTGAAACTCCTACAAAGTTTTAAACGCTTAAGTAGGAGCATCGGTATTTAGAACACAGAAACTGGTTTTCTCAGTAAGCTACTTTTTGGCAATGCAAAGTGCTTCTGAAGGTTTACCTCACATTTGTACAGTCTTCAATCATTATGGAGGAGGGGAAGGGCTTGTCAGGACAGACAGAAACATTTGTGATACTGAGGGGCATGGATTAGTGTGCATGGTGGTAATGGGTTAATAGTTGGACTAGATGATCTCAGTTGTCTTTTCCAACCTTAATTATTTTATCATTAAACCCCAAAAAGTGGATATTCAGAGGGTGTTTCTGGCTCCATGAGAACTCCATCATGAAATAATGATTCTTTCCATTCCAAGACATCCTAAAGCTTTCCAGAGGGAGCACCACAACCTGCCCTATGTTCTGGGTAGAAATGTTGATAAATGGGACGTGGCCTAGTTTCTGACCCCAGTAAATTCCATCAGAACAAGCACTGCAGAAGGGAGTTGATACCTTCTTGCAGTGCTGCAGAGATTTTGCATCATACTGAATCTTACAGAGCAACCCAAGGAAGATGTTATCCATCAGAAATAGCCCTATGGCTATACAAATTGCACTGGCTTTTCTCAACTTCTCTGTCATTCCCCAAAACTTCAAAGGTGTAAAAAGCTTTCAAATGGCATCACTCCCACCCATAGGTAAGCCCTGCAACATATTTTTTGTCTGTGTTCTGCAGCAGGCCCGTGTAGATGCTTTTAATATACTGAGGTTTCAAGTCGCTGCTTATTACTCACTGGTCTGTGTTTTGTTTGTTTTGTTTTTCATCTTTTTTCATCTATTTTTACATACATCATCTGTGAACCCACCAAGAGAAAACAGTCACACAATGGCACAGAACCATGTAACAAAGTTGTGTGCAGCTATTAGAGCAATTATATTGAAAAGTGTCAGCTTCCACCCTCGGCAACTGAAAGTAAGCAGAGCGAGTATGTTATTTGTAATGTGCAAGTTCTATTTTGTATGAATTCATACAGGCAGGTTTGCTAACAGCAAGCACAAGAAAAGGTCAAAGGCCAGCCCTGGGGAAAATAAGAGAAAAAAATGTAATGTTTGGGTTTCTACTTATTTTCCTTCTGGGCATGCTTGGCTCATATTTTCAAATTTGTCCTCGTGGATGTATTTTAAGCAAAAACTATGATCTTAATATAAAACCATGTGTTGCCAGGAACTGGATTGTAAAGTAAAATCTCACATGTTGTAATGTAAGCACAAAAAAACCTGGCATCAATGTGTCAGAGGCAATATCTGATCTTGGTTCTGATGTGCAAAACACATTCTCCTTGTAGCACTCAAGCACAAGCTTGAATGTATTCATGTTCCCCAGGAGAGACAAATGAGAGCTCTGTCACGTTTCATAGGCAGTTATTGTATTTGAGTGAGGGCACCAAGCTTAAAAATACCTAAGTGTCTCCAACTAACAGTGACAGTGTTATCTTTCTACTATTGTTTCATCTGCTTGTTTACAAATGACACAATTTCAAGTAAGATATGGCATTTTCATAGCCTTTCTCTCCCTCTTTCTCTTTTCTACATCTTGGCAAAATGCTGAATTGAATCTGTTACAGGGACATTGCTTTCATAACAACAATTTGATGTTATCATCATGGATTTGTGACTTCAGTGACGAGTCTACTAAAGAACAGGGGTAGGCCTGAAAACATTTATTAGCGGGGGAGAAAAAAATGAAAAGGAAATTAATGACCTAAAACTTCCGTTCTTTTCCACATTTATTGTGGTGCAAATTTTTTTTTTTAGGAACAAAAGTAAGGAGTTCAACCCGCATTTCATTAATCAAGCACTCTGCCAGTTTCCCACCCAGCAGACAGCAAAATCAGCTAATAATTTCACTGGAAAACATTTGTTAACCTTTTTGCAAAGGGATGCATTTTCATGGCTAATTCCTCATTCCTGTCTTAAATACAGGGTGTCAGATTAGTTTCTCTGTAGTTCTTAGACATTTTAGCTAGCATCAACGAAAATATCACAACTGTCTACAAGTGGTTTGCTTCTAATTCCATCCGAGTTCCTCTTCTCTCAAGTTCTGAAGCTACCTGATTTATTTTTTTTTTTTTTTTTGCCTGATTCTTCCAGTACACTCCTCACTTGCTTGCTGTTCTTCTCCTTCCTTGTCTGCATGCAATGAAATTATTCTTGCTTCCTCCATTCTCCCCGGTGAGTACAGATGCAAGGAAGTTATTGAGATTCCTGGTTCTGTACGCTTGTCCTGTCTTTCAAAGCCTACAGAATTCTCCCAGCAAGATTACTACTTTACATGGCTGCAAAACCTTTTGCTCATTTTCACAGCTTAACAGACCCAGTTTCATTCTCGCTAGTGGTTTTCTAAGGTCATTTATTCCTTAATCAACACAAGGTTAGTGTCTTCACACTCCTCTCTTCTATTCTTTGTGAATCTGTGTGTTTACCTGATCAACATGTTTCTTGTTTACTACTCCTAGTAAAAGACTATTTCTCAATGTGATTTTTTTAAAAAAATTATTATTATTATTTTTTGCACTGGGTGCTCATCCATCCTCATCCCTGTAGCTTTGTACATGCTACAAAATAGTGTAAAGCTACATAGTTTACCTCTCTGAGGGTCTAGAGAGAGATGATCTTGGAGGAGTACAGAACACAAAAACAGTTTCAGTTTTTCATTACTCAAATAACACCTGGAGTTTAACAGCCTGTTTCCTAATAGATAATTCTTAACAGCAAGGCACAGCTGGTGAGATCCCCAGATTCTCATGGAGTAGAGGGAGAAAGCCGGCAGAAAACAGGTTCACCTGTTTATCTACTGGATTTCACAGTCAGTGCTGACAGGTAAAGGAAGCTATTGTATAGCAATAGTGAAAAACACTGTTTAATACTTGTAGTCAGCTTAGGGGTTAAACAGCTCTTAATTGCAGATTGTCCTTTTCACAGCCCATTAAAGAAAAGCAATATTCCTAATGTCTTCTTTTTGGCTGAAAAAAAGGAAACTGACAACAACAAAATCAGCCATAATAAATTATAACCCAAGAGGCCCTCTGATCCTAAATCCCCTAATTAAAGGCTTGTTAATTGTAAACCACGTCCCATTAGTGGCTCACTGCTAAGTTTAAGTTCCTTGGCTATGTAGCAATAGGGAAGCTTCTGTTGTGTTGGTCGTAGTAAGCGTGTAAACTTCAGCAGGCCATTTTATTTCAACCTTTCAACATAGACTCACTCAAGCTCAACAATCCCTTGCCTGTCCCCATGACCAGAAGGCACATCTAGTCCCCTCCCCGTGGGAGCAAAATACCCCAACTATATGGAAACTTCTGAAGAGAAAGCTGCAGCAGGCACACTGCAAATAGAGTAGAATGCACAGGAAACATAAATGCTGAACTCATTGCATGATAGCTTATTTCTGCAGTCATGCCAAGCACCCACTTTGGAAAGAGTGTTTAAAAACGGTGACTTCAGTCTATAGCTGTAGGCATAAGCAAGCTGTACACATTGTGTGAATAATTTGACCTAGCAACTGGAATATTTTTTCAATTAGATGGACTCAAAGTTTAGCTTCTGGGCAGTTCATTTTTGATTTACTCTGAACCACAGACAAATTGATCTGTGAACAGCCATTGCTTTCACAGAGGGATTTGATTTGAGGAATTATGGCCTAGATTCATCATACCGATGACAGATAGATTTTCATACTTCGGATTTTATTAATGGCATGTTCTTTGCTTGTTAACATTCAAAGGAGATCAATCACAAGGAGTTCTGCTGCTATTGAGTTTCTCTGGAAAAAAGACATAACATGTGGAGGCAAGAGTACAGGTCAGCCTGGACCAGTCTCAGAATATACAAAGAAATACAAAGCCTTTATGAGCTAGTAATGGTTGGAAATGGGCCCAAATTTCAGCCATTACCAGATCATTGCAGATCTCTTGCAAGACTTTGCAAAACCTGTTGTGTTACCATCAGTCTGGTTTTATTAGCAATGCTTTGATTACCCCTCACCCTCAATTAAGGGAAGAAAATGCAATACTTTGAGCCAAGCTGTTCAGGCTGTTCAGGTAACACATTATCAACTACTCCTGCTAACTAATACCTTGTTCAGGTTACTAACTCATGATGCTTTTCAACATTGATAGACTTGCCCCAAAGAACTCTTCAATCTTACAGGCCTTGGATGCTACTTATTCTCTAGAAAAATCAGCTACCAATTCTTCAACATGTATCATTTTACTCCTAGAATTTCTGACATGGTAATCTGTACTATATGGGAAAATCACATTAAATTTAAGGAACCCTTTTATACAGCCCATGCTGTGCAGTTTCTTTTCAATATTTTTGGCATTCAATACTGTAGTTTAAAAGTTTCATTCACTATTAAATTAGCTGGGTGAATAAGCTCTATGTAGTTCTGTCCAGTTACAGAGGATAGTTGAACACATGTTCTGCAGGACTATTTTTTGCAAGATCACTGAAATAACTACCTTGTATTTTTCAATTCTGTTCACTCTAGGTGAAACTCCCTATTATAGGAAGTCAAAGCATTACTTCAGTGATCCAGTCAGTCCTGATCTTGAGAGAATGAATGAGCTGAAATTGATGTGTTTTTTTTTTTTGTTTGCCAGGCACTTGAGAGCATGGATCCAGCTTATTAACTTCAGTTTTCAGACAATTCCCAGGAGCACAGAAGGCATGGAACACTGGGAAAACGGCATAACGAAGGCAGAAGGCTGGCAATACATTGTCCTGGCATTAGTGAGGTAAGTTTCAGTAAGTTTCTTAGCAACACAAATGCTTCAGATGATCACATTAATCGTTTGAGAAGGCTGAAGTATTTAACTGCCCAAGGGATACTTAAAATAGACTACTATTTTATTTTATTTAGAATTATAGAATCACCAAGGTTGGAAAAAATATCTAAGATCAACCAGTCCACCTGTCCACCTATCACTGATATTTCCCAGTAAACCACATCCATCAGTACAATGTCTATACATTTTTTGAACACCCGTAGGGAAGGTGACTCCGTTTACTTCATTATATTTCATTTCTTTATTTTTGGTGGAAGATGACTAAGAGGAGAATGTTTCAAAGATGGGTAGCTCACCTGCACAGTGTTCTCTTAACTGTGCCTTTGATTTTTGATTTCCCCTTGGAATTTTTGAGAAACAAAGCCAGTACTTCTTCCCATTGAACTACTTATTCCTACTAAGGCTGACATTTTTTCCTTGCTGTTGATTCCTTTCGAGCAAACAGTTTTCTCTTGCCTTATTTCAGAATTGCATGTATACCTTGGGGGGGCAAAGTCGGAACCAAACAGTAGCCTGGCACATGCAGAAAGTGGACATTCAAAATAGATATTCTGTCCCTGATCAGAAGCAAAGGAGTGTCTTGCATCCCATAGGAGTTTTGCTGTATCTCAAAATTTACTTGGAAGTAGTAAGTGTTATTGCATACTATATACTTTACAGGGTGAATAGAAGTTCCTCAGTGAGTGCTGTGAAAATAAAAAAATGCTAGATCCATTTCCCCAGAGACATTGGACTGTCAATTTGAGAACATCCCTCATGGAAAATACAAATGATTGGGCTCCATCAGAAAGTCGCCTTTGCTGAAAGTAAGAGACGGACTCAGGCTCCTTGGTAAGGACCTGAAAAGCTGGCTTGACACGATTTAGCTGTGGAAGGTCATGTGCAAGTGAGCATTTGACTTTGTGAGCTTGACCAGCTATCAGTTTCCAACACAACTCTGCTTGCTTCCATAAATCAGGGGTAAGACTTCTATTGACTTCAGCGGGACTTAGTTGGACTTACAACCTGCCAGTTGTCAAAATCTCAGCCTGAGAATCTGTTTGCTTTTTTTCCATGGGAAAAAAAAAGTTAAAATGTGCAACAAGAAGCCAGTCACACTTACTACAGAAAGCAGAAGGTTTTCATAGACACATGGTAGCGATAAAGAATGTACCTTCCAAAAGTCAGGTTTTAAACTTCAATTGCTATCTAAATTTCAGGCTCAATGAACTCCCCTGTACTACCATTTAGGTGATATCTGTAAATACTAAAACTGATTCTTCTTACCTTCAAGTAGCACTAAACAAGGTGTCTACTATTTCTATTTCTCTTTGGAGATGTATGTATTTACACCTGTGTACAACAGGTTCAACAGCTAATTTCAGAAAGAGTTAGGGATAAGCACACAACTTCTCATTATTCTAATCTACACTGGCAAAAAAAAATTCTGTAGCAAAAGCTTTTTTTGACTAGAGTCGTGTTCCTAAAGACTTAGGAGTGCAAAGGAAAGCAGTGAAGACGCAGATCATAACTGTTTGATTAGAGTCTGTCTCCCAGGCTCAAGTTAGCCTTGCAATACATAGTTGTCTAGGTGTATTGAAGGATTTAGGATGTGCTGAACATGATGTGTATATCACTTCAGAAGTTCACACCTGGCTTTTGGCCAAATTATACCTTAATTCAACTGTAAGTGGAAAACACTCGATTAGATTAATACAGACCTTAATAAACTACCTGCTTCACAGCAGCACTTAGAAAAACTGCACACTAAAAACTTGTTGAAAAATGCAATTTCACATGTGAGAACTGAAAAGATGGTCTATTTGCCCTGTAGCAAGGAATAGCCAGGTTACTTGGGGAACCTGCTTGCTTGAGGATCAGCTACAATTGTAAAGGACACGCATTAACAAGCCAAGGATGTGACAACCCTCTGAAGATTCACAAATCAACCCTTGCCCTCTCTGTTGGAGCAGATCAGGAATAGAACACACCAGGCCACAGCAGATGTGTTCTTTGCCATCAGCCCTAAGATGTACAGCTGAGGGACCAAGTCCCACACTGTTCCAAATACTGAGCCTTTGCTAAAATCTTCAGGGGTGGAGAGCACCACTCACCTCTCTGTAAATAGCAATGCCTCTGTCAGACCAGCATAGTCTGCAAGTACTGTGGGCTAAGCAAATGCTATATCCTTTTATCAAGTGTCTTCTGTGTTTGAATTATATCAGCATTTGAATCATTGAAAAGTAGAGGAGAGGGAAGTCCTGTAATAGAAATGCTTCCCTCTTTCTCCACTAAGGAAAAACAAACTTTACAAACCTAGTTTCTTACTGCCCTTATTTACATGGGAGAAATTAGATACTGGAACGTCTTTTCACATCTTACATTGAAAGACAAAATTCTTCCCAGTGGAAGGGAAAATTAACTACATGCAGCAACCTCACATTACAGATTACAGGTCAGCTCTCTTCTCTTCCCCAGGTAACAGGATTGACTTAAAGAATATCAATATTAATTTTTTTCTTCCTGCATTTTTATTTGTCCCCTCCACTTCAGAAGATTTATTCTTTGAGTCCTGTCTCAAACCGTCTATTCAAAGCATCTCAGTAACGTAAGGAGATACCTTACCTGCTCCTGATTTCTACAGTCTAGAGGGAAGGGCTGCATCACCTACAGGTGAGAGGAGAAAAGGCACTGAAATGTTCCAGATGCCAGAGCCAACAGCTCCTCTAGTGTTTTGGCACTGCCTGCCTCTAGAAGTGTCAAGAAGAGCCTGTGCCACAGCACAGCAACCACAGCCAGATACAGCATACAGATCTGCCATCCACATCAGCTCCTTTGCAGGCTCCCAGATAACGTACAGCATGTCAGCTCTTTGTAATCTCCAAAAATCTCCTCATCTCTATGTGCTATTCTCCCTTTCATGTTTAAAAAAAAAAAAAAGATTTATGGGCTTTTGGGTTTCTTAGCTGTCTAAGAGTGAGCGATTTGCATTATTATTAGGTTAATAAGTTTAGGTTATTACAGATAACACCATTGAACATATAGTGACTTTTTTAGGAGCTTCTTTAAATGCTTTAGATGGCCGCTTTCATAGACATTTTAATTCTGAATTCTATCTCTAGATTGAAATACTTCCTCCCTAAACCTGAATGAGACAGGTTTGTTGTTAGGAGATGAAACAAAGTTACAGGATCCCTTAATTTTCAACACTAAAAATGGCAATTCAGGTTTCACCTACCCTTCAACTTCACATGGCTTCAGCTTCTCCTTTGTGATTGCCTGCCTTGACTGCCCAAATCCACAGTCTTCATGCCAATCCACTCCACCTGGGGACAGAAGCCAGCAATGAAAAGTTAACAGTGCCTTTATCTCATACCGTTACATCTGATGTCAGGGCTTCTTTGTAGCTTTGCCAAACTTCCGTAGACGCAAGCAGAAAATGCTGGCCCACATGGGAATACGTAGGTAAAATATTAAGTGTCTGAACTGTAGATTATTCAAATAATTAACTCAACCAGCTACTTGGTGATCTACCTTCAATGATTAAATCTCTGGAGATACATGCTGAATCGGATTTAAAATGACAGATATGCCTAATTACAATAATTGCAAGCAGAGCACATATGAAGCATTTTATCACAGACTTTTGTGGGCTATTAAATGTCTGGTTTAAGTGACAAACTAGTTAATCAGAAAAGAAAGGCTCTGGTGAAGTTGTGTAAATGACACTAGGCTGGAAGGTTTTTGTGTTTTGCAGCCTGTGGCTTTGCCATTGCCGTTTTCTCAGGGTACTGATGATATTTACTCTATAAAGTTTCCAAGGAGAATTAATGCAAGAAGGCAGAAGGAGCTTCCACATACATTCATGTTCTCAAACTCACATTAGCTATAATGCTATTACCATCTTTTGACATGTGATTTCTTTGAATATCTGCAGAAACAACCTTTTGCTTATAAAGCTGTCTGCCAGAACGATATGCATGACAGGAGAAACCTGGTCGAGAGAAGCTGTAGCCAATTTCAGGGCTGACAGTTTTCAGAATCATTTACAATTTCAAGAAGATCTCTTCTGTAGTGGATGTCCTGCTCCAACAGATCCTCCTGCAAGTCCTAACTATGCTTGGTAATTAAAGAGAGGAAAATACCACCATATGCCAGTAGATAAGTTGCACAACATAAATATGAATTCATTAGAGGAAAAAAAGTACAAACAATCCAAGAGCTGCATTCGCAACAGAGACATAAGCACTATCCAAGGCATGCTTTCCATATGGAATCCTGATGATGCTTATTTTGTGTCTTTAAAAGACAAATTAGGACAGTCAGCTAAAAGACCAGGGAAGATACATTAATATTTTCAGAAAAACTGAGTATAAGATCTTTATAAGATCAATCCAGTATATCTCCCATTTATCCATATGCAGTTTACTTAGCAAGAACTAATATGCTTTGAATATTGCAGCCATCAAACTAAGAAAAACCTAGAAATGAATATTATCTGGAATTCATTCTCTTAACCTTGTGATTCTTGATTTTATAATGTGGTTGATAAATTGACTAATTATGTTACAATATGGATTGCCAACGTCTGCAAAATTAATCAGTTTGAAATTAGAATATTCCACCTCATGTATTCCCCAGTGAATTATTTTTTGGCAGTCTTAAAATGTATATATTTAAAGATTACTTTAATGTATTTCATCAAGCTATCAAGAGAAAACCCATCTGACTTGTTCTCTTTTTGGAAAGAGTAAGAAAGGACATTCTCTACTTCGGAGCTACAAGGATGGGTTATATTACATTCTCCTACACAGAAAAATAGCATGCAGAACTAGTCTGAAATGAGATAATAATCTGAAGCTCAAAGGTCAAGAGCATGCCTGTGGGAGAGAAAAACGTACATGAGAAATACCTTCCAAGGTATTTCTGTGTCTGCATTTCTCTGGAAGGTCCATTTACAGATGGCATTCCCTGGTGAATTCTTAGAACAACGATGAGTTGTGCTTCTCTAGATGCTTATAATGAATAATGGAATTGCAACTACAGAAGCAACAGCAAAAGGTATGCAGGGAGTGATAGACACAGAGCTATGAGAATGCAGGTACTGCAGCCAGCTGTGCTTTGAGCTGGGAGGAAGGAAGCGGGTAGGGAACAGAGAGGAAATCAGTGCAAGGAATGCCTCCAGCCTGCTAGACCAAACTGCTTCTACAAAAGATCTGGTTGAGAACAAGCTTGACTCCAGGGATTGATCAGCCTTTCATCCTTAGTCAAAGGAATTGCTGCATCCTAATCCTGACTGCAAACATCTTAAAATGATTAGCATTAGTATTAGGATATTTGACTTCCATTTGTGACTTGATAGGATATAACAAAGTTTCAAAGCCTGTTTGCAACATGAAGATAGGGGAAATAAATGGCCAGAGAAGAATAGAGAATAGAAAAAGAAAGGCAGACGGAGAATAAAAAACAAAGTGCAGGTTTAGACAGATAGAAACCAAACATTTTAAAACCAAAAATCCAACACAATCAGTGGAGTATATTGGTAACGTACTAGCCAGCAAAGTAAATAAGGTCTCCTACAGTTTCAGATTGTTTTTTTCTTTTTCCCCATCTTGAATTAAGAACACTTACAACTAAAAAGCTGAAACCCCTCTTTTATAAACTACTGAAATGCTTCGATATTACAGCCTACGATTTTTTCTCAAAACAATTTGTCAACTTCAGCCCAAAAAATTCATGAAACTACATTTTTGAGCTTTCTATCTTTTGAAAAGAATTTGCCCAGCTGTATTTTCAGACATCAGTGATAAAGCACACATCCTTCAAGTCTCAATGCATGTTTGCTGAACTGATATCTTGAATATTACCACAGCACTGCACTGGCAGCAATTTTCAGACATCTTCCACACTGTTTTAATCCAGAAAGCATTTTCTTTGTTGTTGCTGTTCTTTTTCTAATGATGGTTTCTAGGGACAGTAATTCTAGAGGAAGACCACAACGAAACTAAACATATACAATTCATCCATCTCTGGTCTGCACACCTCTAGATATTCCGATTGAGATTTGGATCACTATTGATTGAATTCAGTTTACTGGAAAACTGCTTAAACTGCCTTTTGCAAGGCTTACAAATACTCCATATACTTCCCAAAGACTCAATACAGAGGCCTGCTGAGCTAGGTGAAACAAGAAGTCTGTACTCTGACTGGCTGGGCTTTCATTTATATTTAAGTATATCATGAAGAAACTGTTGGAATGGATCCCTACCGTCTTTTACAGTGTATATCATACCACCTTTACCATAAAAGAGGGAAGATCAGTATTTGCTTTTACAGTTTTACTATGCACAGCAAACACAATAAGGCTCTTACAAGTTATATAGAGCATAGAGGTAGCAGTAAACACAGGGCTAGAATACCTCAATGCACTAGACTGTTGAAGAATGATGCATCTCCTGGAATTGGTTGGGGTAGGTTTAGATACTTCAACACAAAACAGTATAGAGAATTGCACCAATGAAGTAAGAGCTGAGTGTCTCCCTGTTGCAGAAGTTCAGCCTTAGAAATTAGAAAAATGTGGGTGCTGATGCACTCTCTTTCTGCTGTGCTTTTAGAAAATATAATTGCTTCTTGCTGTGGTTCCACCTCTGTATTCAAAGGTAATGTCAGAATCTGCTAATTGTTTCAGAACCTGTTCTTATTCTTTCATTATCCCAGAAGAATGTCTTTATTTTTAAATTGTTAGAATGGATGAAATTATATGCTCTTAATTTCTGCTAATACTCTGTACCTGCACTTTATCTGTTAATTACAGCAAATACAAAATCTAGACAAGCATGAATACAGTAAGAAAATGTCTTTTAACAGTAACTAATTAAGCCACAAAACAATGTGTGTTATTTAAGGGATAATGTTCATGCCACTTGAACACATCAAGTGATAAGCTGTGTTTGTAGTTGATTAAATGTCAGAGTGAATGTGAAGCATTTGATAATTGTGAAAGTCATTTCCTGCAAGTATATTAGTAATATGAATAGGTGGAGTTTTTCAGTGTGTGGAGAATAGATGGAAACACTGTACTTACAAGGTAAAGGAAACTTTTGATCTCAAGACAGCACTTCTCTGTCCTGTACTGTACCAGTGCTTTCGCATGGCGAGAGACAGGCTGATATCGGTGTTCTTAAGACAGCTTTGGTTTTTGAGAAACCCAAACAAACCTTAAAAAAAAAAAAAATGAGTAAAGGAAGAATAGGGAAAACATTGTGGGAGACTGTGGATAGGTCAGAGCTCCATGCTTTCTCAATTTCTCCTCATGCTTATGATCCAGTATGCTAATCTTTAAGTCTTTTCCTACCTCAGTTTCTAGCGCTACTAAGAAAGTCCACTGAAAAAAAAAAAAAAAATCCATTGCAAATTAAAAAAAAAAAAAAAACAGCACCACAACTTTGCTGCATATAGTATTAATTTACAAAACCCTGTATAACATGTATCTTTAAGTAGAATAATTTTCGTAAAAGATAACGTATGAGAAGATATTTCATTTCCTTTTCTTCTGTGGATCTGTAAATAGCTCCACAAGACTAGATGACCTTAGTGGCTGTAAAGTCAGTGAATATAAAGATGTTATAATTATGAAATAAAGAAGAGAGCTTGGCAAAGCAGATTATAATAACAAAAAGAGAATAGAAAAAAAGCTTACCCACAACCTGGGTTTGCTGCAAAACTCCAGAGGAAGGATCTCCAGAAGAGTCCTTCCCTGCTTGTAGTCAGCTCTTAAATGGGTCTAGGGAAGGTGGAGCAAGGCTCCACCCCTTCCGGCAACACAGGTGAATTGGCTTCACCTGTGCTCCCATGGCTGACTCATTGCTCACCTCAGGTGATCAATCAGAGGTTCAGGCCGTCATTCAGCAGTTCCCATACAGTGGTCTTTTCCAACTTAATGATCCTATGCAACAGTAATTCTCACTGATTACTAATACAGTCACTGTCCTTTCCTGGTTCTCACGTTTCAGTGCATAATTATTAATGGAAACATTCTGTTTGGTGAAATGTGTAAGCTGTTTGATCAATAGACACACACTTTCTGGACCAAACCTTATTTGCTCACAGTTGAAATTCTACACCCTGTTGCATTGCGGGTAAGATTCAGACTCATTTTAGAGTACGTTTTGCAGTTTCTGGCCCACGATTGGCAGTAATCCCTCTCCTGTCACCATGTAACTCTATAAAGTGTCTCAAAACAGGAGAGATCTGGCTAACAGCATTTCAGTGCCATATAATTATCAGACAGTATCTACCC